ATCATGTCATGATGCATCATATAAAATACTTCGCATGCAACGTGGTAATCTAGGATGAAATACATCAATATTATATGATTATATGTAGCAAAATATGGTCCAATACATGAATATACTCGATGATAAAGGTGTTCAAAGAGTTTGAGCCGTAAATGACTAACCTAATAGGAATTCTAGCAGCCATTGGATGGTGATAGCAGGACGTTGACACGGCCGACAACCCATTTAAATACGGGTGGTGTTCAGTGGACGAGCAATCGATCTGTGCTGATTGACCTTAATGCGTGAGTACATACGGTGGTGTGTCAGCTGTGTTTTAAGAAGAACGGACCACTTTTTCTGGGGTAACGTCAAAGTCCGCTCAAAGAATGGCACGTTTCTGAACGGTGTAGTTCAGCCGTTGATTCGTCTGGTTGTAAAGATCTGCTGATGGTCACCCACAACCAGTCAAGCCCGTCACTAATCCATCGGTGTAGATGATGGATGACTCGTTTCTTCACTCTGAATGCTTTCCTTGGAATCTGAAACATCGCCGTCGAAAATCTCAGCCAAGGCATTAAGGGGAAAAGCTGGTGAAGGAGAAGGGGAAATCCATCTTGCACGGAGGTTTGAGACCGTAGGTTCCACGGGATAATCTTCAGCAAAAGTTCCGTTCCTTTTCAGAACCTACTGGAAGGTTGTGCAAATTGATCCGGGTGCAAGTAGAAGGGCTTCGTGCCAGGGGATGTGTACCCAAAAGACTTCTAGGTTTTCACAAGATTGTTCAACCCTTCGAGAGGCACCTGACGAGAACTGCAGGATAGCACGAACAAACACCAGACTTGGCTTTCTTGTACAGGGATTTAGTGAACACATGAAATACACGGGAACAGAAGGTGAAGGGGTGGTTGAGCTGCCAGCAGAAATGATGGATTGAAGTACATTTTTTTTTCGGAAGTAACTGAAGGAGGAGATGAGTAATAGGAGGTGATCGGGACAGCGACAGCAGCTTCCAACTCATTTATCTCTTCAAGCATTGTAAAAGGTCTGCAAAAATTAGGGAGAACAGGAGGTTTATTTCAGGAACCACTGCTCCTGGCTTGAAAATCTAGCGGCTCCCACGGAACCAGGCACAGTCAGTGGAATACAGTATTCTTCCAG